TCCACAATCCGGCGCCTGCTCACCTCTCAGCCTCATGTCCCCACTTCGTACTTTGTAATCTACACAGCAGCCACACCAAGTCCTCTGTGTCCTGCAATCGCACAATTTTGGCTCCAGACCCTGTAACATGCCATTTCAGGACAGGGAACACCCCAATCCCCTGCCTCCTTACCTTCCCTGCCCAAAGCTTCATCTGCCCGACTCTGTGGTCCATCTCATCCCTGAGAGATCAATCCTCCTAGGGAAGCTTCTCAGACTCCAAGCCTAATTGTTACTGAAATCCCCAAATAAGCTCCTGTCCATGAGGGTCCAGGAGAGCAAGTCATGAGGCCAACGAGAGCAGTCTTTCCCACCTGTTTTAAAGATTTTTTTTTTTTTATTTGTCAAAGAGAGAGAGAACACAAGCAGGCAGAGCGGCAGGCAGAGGCAGAGAGAGAAGCAGGCTCCCTGCTGAGCAAGGAGCCCGATGCGGGACTCGATACCAGGACCCTGGGATCACGACCTGAGCCGAAGGCAGTGGCTTAACCAACTGAGCCACCCAGGTGTCCCTTTCCCACCTGTTTTATTATTGCACTGTGCCGCTCACCCCAAGAAGTCTTTTGAGACCTTTTTCACCTAATGCTCCTCCTGTCCCCTGTGAAATTTTAATACCACAGATACAAGACATGTCTGTTTGTGTACTGTGGCCCTTTGGAGGGCCACAAACCATTATCTAACAGTTAAGATTTTACATAATCTTAAATTACATGCATTTTTTTCTCTATAAGGACCAATTTTTGTCCCTTGTGGGTGATTGTCCCCACTGAGAATTCATGGAATAAAATAAAACTCTGCTAGCCCTCTCAAGGGAGCTAGGAATAAAACAGTTTACGTTCTTTCCTGATGAGAAGCTTATGTCAAATACTGAAGGTGCAGGAAGATGAAGTATAGACTTAACAATGAGGCTGACTTCGACCTAACCAAGGTGGAGTTGGCAGTAGGGCAAAAGTTATTCTGCAGCAGGGTGGAGACTGACCACTGAATCCAGGCTACAAATCCAAGGAGTGGGGCTGGGAGGGGATGAGAATCACTAGCTTGAAGGTGACAGAAGATCTAGGAAGTCTTATTCCACGAAGATGGGACATACTTGACCTTAGGCTGATGGAGTGTGGATACTGAGAGACTGGAGAATACCCAGGAAGGGGTAAGTGGCTGGATGAAAGTCCAGAGGAGGAGGGAGGGAACATGGGAATCACAGGCCAGGGATAAAAGGGTAGAGGAAGCTTCTCTTCCTCTGCGATGTCTGGGTGTGAATGTACAAGGCCTCAGGGAAGTCAATTCATTGGGAGAGTGAGATCAGGCCACAAGGGAAGGCCAGAGGAGTGGAAGACATCTATAGCATCCCCTTTGGAGAAACTTCAGAAGCTGATTGAAGTACATGGAAGGATGGCCAAATGGCATCAAGGACCAAGTGAAATAAGAAGTACAAAATCTATAGCAGTGTGACGTCTTCTTTCCTATCACTTTCCAGGTGCTGTCTTGGGTGTAGGGACACATCAGCGAACCCTAAGTTTCTGACCCCAGACTGCCATTGTCTGCCTTGCCCAACTGGAATGTAAAGTCATGAGTAAGATGGCTTTCCATACTGGTCATGGTGATGAAGAGAAAACAGAGTACTGTAATGGAGTGACAGGTGGATGACTTCACTGGATGGTCAGGAAAGGCCTGCCTGAAGAGATGACATTTGATCTGAGGCCTGAATGGTACAAAAAGGGCAACCTTGAGACATTCTGAGAGTGGAACTTTCAAAACAAGACGGTCTCTAGTACAACAGGAACAAGGAAGAAATAAGCTTGTCTTCAAGGACAAATAGTGTGGCTGGATCATAGGATCAAGAGAAGAGATGGGGAAGAGGTCAGCAGGGACTGAGTACTGTTGACCTTTGAACAGTGGGAGGTTAGGGGTACCAACACCCTACACAGTCAAAAATCCGAGTATAACTTTTGACTCTCCTAAAACTTAACTACTAATAGCCCTCTATTGACTGGAAGCCTTATCCATAACATGAACAGTTGATGAACACACATTTTGCATGTTATAAGTATTATATTGTATTCTTATAATAAGGTAAACTAGAAAGAAAAGAAAAGAAGATGTTATTAGGAAAACCACAAGGAAGAGAAAATGCATTTGTAGTATTATACTGGATTTATAGGGAAAACAAAAACAAAAACAACCCAGGGAGGAAGGACAGTAGGGCAAGAAGTAGGGCAGAAACACCAGTTTGGAAGCCTGGTGGATTCTCCAAAGGGAGAAAGCGTCGAGGTAGTTGATGAGGTGGAGGAGGGCAGTTCAAGGGTGGGCAGGATCAAAGGGCAGTTTTGGGAAAACGCTGAGAGAGGTCTTGGGTGTTGCATCAGAAATGTGGATGCTCATTTCTAACTGCAGCAAGTCATACACACAATCCCACATGGAAACACCTCTCACAACTCCTTGCCTATTTTCAAGGTTCCTGGAGGCGATAAACTGTAAGATTACTAGATACATTTTTCTCTGCCCAACCGAACAATATCTTTGCAGTTTTTTTTTTTAAGTTTATTTTTTAGAGCAGTTTTAGTTTTTAGGTTTTCAGTTTAAGTTCTTTAAATAGGCTTTATTTCTTTTTTTTTTAATTTTAAAAAATTTTAAAAAAGATTTTATTTATTTATTTGAAAGTAGGCAGCGAGAGAGGCAAAGAAAGAGAGAGAGAGAGAGGAGGAAGCAGGCTCCCTGATGAGCAGAGAGCCTGATGTGGGACTTGAACCCAGGACCCTGAGATCAAGCAGAGGCTTATTCCATTGAGCCACCCATGCACCCTAAGCTTTATTTCTTACAGCAATTTTTAGAGCATGGTCAGAGGAGGGAGAGATGAACAGGTAGAGCACAGAAGATTATTATGGTGGTGAAGCTACTCTGTATGATACTATAATAGTGAGTACACGCCCTTATACATTTTTCCAAATCCACACAATGCACACCACCAAACCCTAATGGACACTGTGGGTCATCATGTCAACGCAGAGTCATTAGTTTCAACAAATGTAACACTCTGGTGGGGGTACTGGCAATGGGGGATGCTATGCCTATATGGGGGTAGGGGTTATATAAAAAACCTCTGTACCTTCTCAGTTTTGCCTTGGCGGTTTCAAGTATTTTAAAGCCAAATCCTTAGTATCTTATCTATTTCCTGCCACAGGCAGTGTGCTCTCTTCTTGACTTACCTCTCAGAATAGCACTGATGAAAACAGCTCTCAATATTTTATGAGTCAGAGGACATTAAAATATCTAAAAGAGTACATGTTCCGGTGCCTGGGTGGCTCAGCTGGTTGAGTGTCTGTCTGTCTTCAGCTCAGGTCATGATCCAGGGGTCCTGGGAGGGAGCACCACAGGCTCCCTGTTCAGCAGGAAGTCTCCTCCCTCTGCCCCTCCCCCTGCTTGTTCGTTTTTTTTTTCTCTCTCTCTCCCCCAAATAAATAAAAAAGTCTTTAAGAAAAAAAAAAAAAGAGTACATGTTCCTCTCTAAGGCCACCAACTTGTAAAGTGCAGGTCAAAAAAGCTGAGTGTAAACAGCATTATTAAAGCATGTTCTTTAAGCACATACCAAAATGTCTGTAGAGGTTTTTAGAGTAATAAAAAGGACCCAAGGGAGGTCGTTCCCTTCTGTTTTCTGACACTTACTGTTTTAGACATTTTTCTATCACTCTAAGAAAATGGATATATGATTTTTAAGGAAAGGTATTCCTGACTCCACCCATTCTAAAAAATACAAATCTCCATGGAGTGGAAGTTTTTTACATTTTAAAACTTCTTGTGCATTTGTACCTTACACACACTGTAGGAATAAAAAGCACAAATGTGTTTTATGGTGAAAAGTCAGTGTCCCTCCAGCCCCTGCCTCCCAACCACTGATATCATCACAGGAGGCAGCCAGTGTTCCGTGGTGTTCAGCCACATATCTTCCAGAGAGGTTCTATTTATATAAGCCAATACCTACTTACTAAAAAAGCATAAATAGTAGCATATTATCTGCTGTTCTGGATTCTTCTTTTTATTAAGCATGTTTTGGAAATCCTTCTCCAGCAATGGATAGAGTTGCCTCATTTGTTTTTTCAATGTAAGTTGAATATAAAGGGTGTGATAATTAAGAAACTGCGTGTCATTTACTTTTGCCTTTTAATAGCAGAGCTACAACTAGATCAATCCTCAGTTTTCTGGGCTTTACTATCAAATAGTTCAATGCTTTAACATTTTACCCTCCCCTGTGGCTTTATTTTCATTGCTAAGTTCCCCACTCTATGCCCCCGTCCACTCCCATCTGAGGTTTGACATCATTATCTAACTTAGTCATGTGATCTCATTTTTGATAAATCAGATGTAATAAGCCCAGAAGACTTGGCTCAGGTGTCCCTTAAGGACAAATGATGAAAAGATGAAAAGAAAAGAAAATGCATAGACCAGAGGGGTGAGAGTTGGTCACATGTCTGAGATTTGAGTACCTGTGTGTGTGTCTTAACTCCTAGTCAATTATAGCTACATTCATCCCTCCCAGCTTTGCACCTGGGGACAAGGACGAATGCAGTCTTAGCTCATATTATAAGATGAGTGCACATCTTTGGACTGTTCTAACAAGCCACAGTCCCTTAGATCACTGTAGTTCAAGGACAGACACACACTCAGAGATTTTTTTTTTTTAAACGCTGTTTCTGATTCTGAGTCTCTTTTTCTCTTGAGGCAAGCAAAGCAGACACACTTGCCAAGGATAACTGAGAATGTAAGGACTATCCTTGCCTGGGCAGCTTGAGCGGGCTGCGCGCTAAATGCAGCTTTGAACCATACCCTATAAATAGCTGTTCATTGTCAGCGTGTGTGAAAAGACAAGAGTGGGTGTGTGGTGGTATGATTCAGGCCTAATGAAGGCGTCGCGTCTGCGCAGGGTGACAACTGGTAATCTAGCCAGTAGGCAACCGGAAGGGCTTGCCTCTGACCAAACGCAGACTGAAGGGAAGCTGTTTGACACCGGTTTTGCCTCCAACCATGGCAAAAATCATCCTGAGGCACCTCATTGAGACGCCAGTGCGCTACCAGGAGGAGTTTGAAGCTCGAGGCTTGGAAGACTGCAGGCTGGACCACGCTTTGTACGCACTGCCGGGGCCAACTACTGCGGACCTGAGAAAAGCCAGGGAGGCCCAGCTTCCTCCGGTGGACTCAGAGGCCAAGATGCCGGCCCAAGAAGGCAAATCCCGCTTCCAGATCCTGCTGGACGTGGTCCAGTTCCTCCCTGAAGATATCATCATTCAGACCTTCGAAGGCTGGCTGCTGATCAAGGCTCAGCACGGAACCAGAATGGATGAGCATGGTTTTATCTCAAGAAGTTTCACCCGACAGTATAAACTGCCAGATGGCATCGAAACCAAAGATTTGTCGGCCGTCCTCTGTCACGATGGAATTCTGGTGGTGGAAGTAAAGGAGCCAGCGGGGACTCAGTGAAATCTTATCAATTCCTGTTCATACGGCAGGAGGAACATTGTAGTTCAGCCAACGGTACCAAGGGGATGTTTGTATTAACCACATTTGAAATGATTTTTATAAGATTGAAAATAGAAACGTAGTTCCTGGTATGTTGAGGTTGTGTTTGTTATTCTTACTCAGAGAGGAAAATTGTTAAATGTCTCTATAGCTCAAAGGGATGCTAATCCTACACCTGAAACATTGACAGTTTAGGAGACAATGTGGATTCTAGTGAAGATTCAGACTTATTTCTTCATTGCCCCAAGAAATGTCCCAGAAAATGGCAAAAGAGTCATATGAATTTCTTATCCATTTTATGAAAACTTTCTCTATTGCTAAAAAAAAGTTGTGATTCCCTTCACTTGACAAGCTTTTCTTTTTCTTTTTTTTTTGACAAGCTTTTCAAGGAATTTTAATTGAAGTGGAATCTGTAAATATAGAATCTGAAAGTTGAAATACAGCAGTTAGGAATTGGGCCTGAAATGTATTTATGATTCATTACAGCTGTTACTGCCTTAAATGTAATACTGGAATTTTCAGATGTAAATTTTATTAAAAAAAAAGTTCTAAATATGTACCTCATTTTTAAAAAGTCAAACTGAGTGCTGGATTGATGTATTTTTAACAACAGCATATGTTCTGTGGATATTTATGCAATGTTACAAACTTATGTGTTGACTCATATTCTTATAAGTTTGTATTAAGTTTAGGAAACCACTTTAGAAAGTGTAATTACTGAATTCAAAGAGTTTTACTCTACATTCTTTGATGCTACTTAGAATTTTAGATTTTAGAAGACAGCAAAATACACTGCATCTGCTGTCTCTGCATAATCCTTAGCTTTAAATAGCCTGGCAGGTAGTAGAGTTTCCCAGGCCAGAGCTTGCACAGAGACTGAGAAGTGCTGAGACACTGATGGAGGTTAAGGATTTGCTTTAGGAATATTGCCATCAACAGCTGGTCTGTGACATTCCAAAGATTTGCTATCTCATTCTGTACATGCTAAATATTTCTCGGGAGGAAGTGGCCACTTTTACCCTGCACCCCATGTGTGCGGCCAGCGAGCCTGTGCACAGTGCTGGGAATAGAAGGGGCTGGGTGTGCAAAGAGCCAGGATGGACACAGGCCACTGACGACACACCTGTCCTCCTCCACAGCGCTCTGTTGTTCGAGTGACCACGTAAGAGACACGAAGGAAGAGAAAAAGACACCAAACAGTTCTAAAAAATATTTTGAAAGCAAATGTAATTGGAGAGATGTGTTTACAATATAATTAAATTGTAAAGATTTTGAAGCTGAATATTAATGGTTATTCACTGAGGTTTGTGCATCATAAGAAATTTTGTTTGACAAAGTGAATATCACAGTCCAGCTTTGCTACATTACAAAGATGATCATAATTAATGGGACTCCATCTAATACGATTAGAGCTGGGATACCATTTTTCCCACTTTAGATTATTCTTTCTCAATGATTGGCAGGATGGTAGGGAAACAAAGTAGTGCTTTGAGAGTAAACCAATCAATAAAAACATCCCTCTCATTTGGCCTTAACCCTACTCTAGAGAAGATCCTACTTCTGGGAAAATTCAGGAAGTAAAATTATTTTTTTTTAAGATTTTATTTATTTATTTGAGAGAGAGAGAACGAGAGAGAGAGAGAGAGTGCAGCACGCATGAAGTGGGTGGGGAGGCAGAGGGACAAGCAGACTCCCCACTAAGCTGGGAGCCTGACATAGGGCTGATCCCAGGACCCTGAGATCATGACCAGAGCAGAAGGGAGACGCTCAACTGCAGAGGCTCAACTGACTAAGCCAACCAGGTGCCCCAAGAAGTAAAATTCTTACCATGAGGAGCAACCAATAGAAACTTTTCCTTTAAAAATGAACACTAAAATAACCATCTCATCCAATTAGCATTATTTTTTCTTAAGGTATATTTAAAAGTATTACATAACCATTCTTTGATTTGGAAAATATACAAAACCCTATAACAAATTTTAAAAAATTCTCTTATTACTATGAGGTTGCTACTTCAAATTTCTAGTTCCGTCTTCCCTTATGCATAAATACATATATCACTTTTCACAAAGTTAGGATTATATTTGCATGGCGTTTGATGCCCCAATCATTCTGGTTACTGTCTGTTGCCAGCCCCATGTCGTGCCAACCCAAACCCATCACTCACCCTTGCCAGCCCCATTCTGAGCCCAAGCAGGCTGACCCCCACGAGCTGCCATCACTCTAGTTTCCAGCTGGCTTCAGACAATGGAAGTGCTGACCGGAGGCCAGAGACTGGAGAGAGGATTCGTGGGCAGGAGAGGACAAAGTTCAGGGCATTTCCTTCTGTCAACCTGCTGGGATGAGGTGCTGGCAGGCCCGTGTCTCTCCTTGACTACACCTTTGGAGAAGTGACCATTTCTCTAGGCCTCTCGCTTGGACTGGGCTTGGGTGTCCTAATGCTGTTGCCTCTTTTTGCCCCATCAGCAGTTGGCATGATCCTGTTTTCTGCCCTTTCTTGTCCCCGGTCTTCACCATCCTCTATCGATTCCTCTTACTTTGTCTGCTTTCCCCTCAGTGGTCCCTTCTTAGAGCCCCTTTAAGGTGATGAAATTCTGTTTTCCTCCAGAACTCTGACTGCTTATCTTCTTAAGTGTGTGTGTGTGTGTGTGTGTGTGTGTGTGTGTGTGTGTTTAAACTGCATCTCTTGCTTTTATACCAAACAGAAGTTGATTTGTAATGGCTATGCACTATTCCAACTCAGATAAAACATATTATAATTTAACCATTCCTTTTCAGTACTGGTCCCAATAGGAAACAGATAGCAATGTCAAAATTAGAATAATTTAAATTAGAATAATTTACTTGTAAAGAGATCGATTTCACAGGAGTGGGCAGGGTGAAGAAGAGCTGTAGGGGACAGTGTATAACCTGAGCGTAGCAGTGTGCAGCTGTTCTGTTCCCTGGGTCCAAAGAGATGAGAGGAGGAAGCAGGTCTCAGGAATCAAGATTGTCAGATGGAGGAGACCACCAGCTGTGACTTTCTTTTGATGATACAAACAGCCCCAGGTGACCTCTCCCTGGTGTCAGGAAAATAAATACTTTACCCTTCTAATCTCCTACCAGGATGCCCCACTGGTGGGACGTAAGTGGTAGCTGGAGGGCGTGGGTACCCTGTTGATTTGGTTCTAGAGCCTCCCAGAGCAGGGGGCAGGGTGGAAAAAACGTGGAGAGTGACTCCTGTGGACTGAGGGGAAAATATCCAGCACTCCTGTGAAGTGAGTACTATTGTTACAGCTCTTTTGGACAAACTTGAAATACAGCCTGAGACATGGATTGAGGTACTGACGCTTTATTTGGGAAGTGCAAGCCCAGAACGGTAAAAGTGAGGCAATAGGGGGAAAGAGGCGAGAAAAAAATGGGAAGCAAAGTGAGGTGATGTGTTACTATGTTGACCACCATGGGACGATGAGCTATGAAGAGACTCAGCAGGCTCTTGGCAAGGATGTTGGCTTAGCACCTGGAACCTCTCCAGAAGATCTTTGGGAAGAAATAAAATCTTAAAGCAATCCACAGGGAAGAAAAAAAAGAGGGAACTTGCTTGCATGGTCCCTACTATTTCCTGTTTCCCCTTAGTCAAGGTTTAGCTTCACAGGGAACAGACTCTCCTGCACTTCTGGGGTGTATCACCCAAACCCTTCATGGCTGCTCAGAAAACCAGACGTTGTACCCCACAGTGTGACGTTTCATCCATGCTGAGAGCAAAAGGAGACTCAGCATGGTTAGGGGTCACTCAGAGTGAGAAACACAGGCTCAGGGTTTCAACGTGGCTTCCAGCCACCTTAGGAGACTGGCAGCAGCTCTGGTGGCAGCATCCTGGGCTGCAAGGCAGGGGAGACCCTCAGGAAGAAGAAGGCAGATGGAAAGGCACACAGGCTTTGTATCCACCGCAACCCCAAATCCAGAGCTGTGGGAAGGGGGAGCCAGGCAAATCACATAGTCCTATAGCATCTACTGCATATGTATTCCAGACTGCCTTCAAATTTTATGGATTCTAATATCACCTTATATTTTTATCTAATTTTTTATTAGCTTAAGTGCAAAATCAGTTCTCTTAAACTTCTCCAGGATTTTTCTTTTCCTGTAGATTGTGGATCAAAGATTTCTTTTTGTTTTTGTTGAAGTATTTTATTTACTCATTTGTCAGAGAGAGAGAGCACAAGCAAAGAGAACAGCAGGCAGAGGGAGAAGCAGACTCTTGGCTGAGCAGGGAGTCCGATGCGGGACTCGATCCCTGGACCCTGGGATCATGACCTGAGCTGAAGGCTGATGTTTAAACAGCTGAGCCACCCAGGCATCCCTGTTTTTGTTTTAAGTTGCCTAATTTTTATCCTGGAAGCCCAGAAGTCATTATGATGTGGGAAACAAAGGCAGAAGAAAAATTATTAAATTTCCTTACTACTTACGGCCCATTGACAAGTCCTTGAAACAGGCAGAGTGACATTCCTCTAGGAACTCAGCTGCCTCAATGTTAATACTTTGCTAAGGGCAAAAGGCAATCTTAGCCTGACCCTCCAGAATCCTAAAGTCTACTTTGACATATAAAAATTCCTTTGGAAACTTCCTTTATCTCTACTCCCCAGGATACACATCAGCAATCATTCCCCAAGCATATGACCCACCGATATACGTCTGAAGGGTTTCATGACTAAGGTTGTATTAGACAGTAATAAATGACCTTTTCCCAACAATAGCTAGCCCCCTCAAGGTCCTGGAAACCTTGCTTCCAAAATTCCCTTGAGTTTTATATTATCCCTAACCCCCTCCCAGCTTGAAAGTATGTAACGGGCCACTCCTCATGACTCCAGTGTAGCTCTTTCTGCCTACGGGTACTGTCGCCGTGCTTTAATAAAACCACCTTTCTGCAACAAAGGTGCCTCAAGTATTATCACTTGACCATCGGGTTCAAACCTGAATGTCTTTCCAGTTGAAGACTTTAGTTCCCACTGACCTCCTTCAGTCCAAACCACACTGGGATCCTGAATGTGGCCTTGCCTTACTTCTCACCTACTTGTGATTGTCTGAAAACTGCTGTCAGTGGTCCTTAGCA